TCTTCTGAGAATTGCTAAGGGCACTAGACAGGACCAGGCGTCGCAGCCCAGACGCTTTCGCTCGGCTGCCGGGCAGAGGTTGACGCCAGACCCGATCCAACCGGGAGAAGGAGGATGTTGACGCTTCCTGGGACACCGACCACGGCGGCGCTGAGTCTCGAGGTGAAAGGCAATCTTTGCTCTTCAGCAGCCTGAATTGCAACAGTAATTTAATCACTTTTGCATGTCACTTCAGACTGACCCTAAATGCTATTTTATTATATACAGAGGAAACAAATGTCTATTTTTCAAATCTCTATATTATTGTATGTATATATGTATAGACAGATGGGTAACTGATGCAAGTGCCTACATGTTACATGTCAGTGTTCTTCGAAGAGCGAACATGCCCCTGGGAGTTTTGGCAATAGCTTGTTCATGCCACGACTGCAATGTTCCCGCTGGGGCAGAGGAGACCAGAACTAGCGCCCTCGACGTAAAGATGCCATAGCGCGGACGCTCGTTCGCCCCTAGCCTAAATAAGCTTTTTCTGAAAGAGTCAGAGAGAAGCTTCTCGGTTTGGAACGCTTTTAAATGCGAGCATTTTTATCCACGTTCTTAAAAGACAATATTTAGCCCTGTGGGTTACCGAGCTGCCAAAGTAAAAGCCATAGGTAAAAACAAGCACAAGGTAAGAGATGCCACCGTGGCGAACGAAGGCGATCGTCTGCACTGTTCTCATGCCAGACGCTAAAATCTCTGCAAGGAAACACTCCCTCATCGGGCTGGTGGCCTCTGAGGCATCAACTATGCAAACAGGCCGGCTGACGGGGCAGTGACAGGCTCCCAGGGGGCCCCGCTGCCCAGCCGCACGGTGAGCAAAGATTAACAATCTCCTCCAAAGAACCAAAGAGTCGAACTGTGGCCAGAAACACAAAAGCAAGTCCTCATCCTTAATCCACTTGAGTATATTCAGAAACTACCTGCCTTTGTTCTTAGGAAGCCAAAGCACCAAAAAGCCCCACAATTAACAGCCTCCGAGTCTGGCCCACGGAAGGCAAGAGGGGGAAGAGCGCTGCAGGGGCTGGGGCTGCTCCTGGGAAACAAAGGGCCTGTCCTGCCTGGAGCGATGCCGATGACTACATTTGACACATTCCTATGGACAGTTCAGATGACATTTTCAAGGGGCGGGAACTTGGATTAGCACTTATTTTCCCCTTTTAAAACCCAAGTCCACCTTTTTTTCTAGCACACAAATGAAAATGGAGATACTCACTCACTCATCCCAGGCAGCAGCAGGCTCTGGGAGCGTCCACAGGCCAAGCTTCGATTGCCTTAGAGGGGGTTTCCTGAAACGCCAGAGACTGTTATTTACTCCGCTGCCAGGCAAGGGGCATCCTGTTTTGCTACAATTCGATGCAATGTGCTGCCTGTACCACCCTGTGCCTTGCGACGGGGCTCTGCGCTCCACTGCCTGCTGCGGCACGTGGCGGCGGCAGCCACCGAGCAGCTAAGGGGCTGGTGGCTGTTGCACAGCCCAGCTGCGCCTGCAGCTTCACAGGCGACCCGTGGGGCACGAGGGAAGACGAGAGCTGGCCTTAAAGGCGAGTCCTTCCTCCTTCCTTCCCCGCGCCCCTTTCAGCCTTTCAGGAGCTGTGTCCCAGGGCTGAGGACAGGCTCGCGGCGCCTGCTCGAGCCGGGCAGTGTGTTTTACCTGCCAGCTGGCTATGAGCAGGCATCTCCCAGCTGCCCTGCCTGTCGGCCGCAGTCTGAGGCAGGAGAGGAGGACAGAGGAGGCCGGACCAGGAGCCCGGGGCCTCCGGCACGCGGAGCCCCAGCCTGGCCTGGCCTCAGGCCGAAGCTGTTCCAGCCTCTCTGTGCCTCAGTTTCCCCACATGTACCAACTTACCTACCTCCCAAGGGGTCGCGAGGATCGGCAGGGGACCGAGAAGTGCTAGAAGCCATGCAGGTCAATCCTTACATGCACACCATGTCCGATGGCGGGGTGGTGTGTGTGTGTTTTTTGGGGGATCCAGAAGTAAATGGAGTCAAAAGCACAAACTGACAGTTTTCCCACCTTCAGCAACTAGCTCCTCTCCCTTCGGAAACCCGTCATCCCGCAGGGCTGGAATACCAGCAGCCTTACTGCGGTTCGCGCCCTCCCCAGCCTGTTTAGACTTCTCTGACCGACTGACTGCTTAACAGCACATGTTTTATCGCGCCTTGTATTTAATACAATTTGAATTGTTATGTCAATACTGCAGCCTACACGGTCTTGCTGATGCTGAGTTGTTTTATATGCTTGCTGCACTGTGACAGTATTATATAAAAAGCTTTGTATTATTAATTTCACTTTCTTTGTCTGTTTACATTACAAGCAAACGACATATCAACAGAGAGCTTCTTGCAATATACGTGGGGGAGGGAGGGGAAAATATGCCAAAGAAATGTCTTTAAAGGGGTCTTTTTGCATTTTTATATGAATAGAATGTTTCTAGCAGATATGTTTTGTTTAATATATTAAAGATTTGCAAATCTGCCAAGATCTACCGTTATTTTTTTGCAGACTTCGCCGCTCAAATACAACAGACCGGTAGGCACATAGAGGTCACTGTTTTATTGAGTTAAGCATTACTTTGAAATGAAGAGCCAGCAGTGCTATAATCGTACCATCAAGAGCTGCACAGTTGCCACAGATTTCCAGCAGCTTCACATCACTTACTTAACTGAGCTGGGATAGTCTTCCTCTCGGACACGAGCCAAGCCGAGTTTCCCAAGGGACCCCTGTTATACCTAAGGCGGGCAACTCCAGAACACCACAAAGACCTACTTCATGTTACTCCTCACATACGCAGTTCAGGGAGCGCAGGTTATCTGGCAAACGGGCCGCAGCATTTAGATTTGCTATTTGCCTTTTCCTCAGAAAGCGGAGCAACAAATGAAGGTGCCCCTTCTCACCTGGTCACGAACCCACCCTCCCCGCCTGCCAAAGCAGGTGACGTGCAAGACAACGTAAGAGACCCCCCCGGAAAAGCTCGAGCAAAGCTCCACAAAACCAGTGCCAATGAGAGGGCCAGAAACCTCTACCTTCCCTCTCATGTTACCCTACAATAACCAGACACTGGTATAACCAGGCACCGTTAGGACGGTACTTCTCCCTCCCTCCCTCCCAAAACACAAAAATTACGACTGCAATTTCACATTGCCACAGATCGAAGCACTGATGACTCTGACTGACAGAGCCCTCCTCACGCCAACAGTTACAGGGAGTAGGATGCGCAACACAAAGCCGCTGGCTCCAAACGCATCCCCGTAGATCAGGTAAGGCCAGGCACGTATCAGCGAGGAAGCAAAGACAGGCAGACAACTCGAGGAGGAATTCAGCTTTGGTGTTACTGACACTACCAGCCTGGGCCGCTCTCAGCTCCTCGGCAGCACCAGCACAGGTAGCTGCCCACCTTCTCTGACGTGCTCCCTGCAAACAGGGTGTCGGTTCAGCTGCCTACATGAACGCGCGGCCCTGCACTGCGGCTGCGAGCCAAGGCAGGAGAAAGGCCATCAAAAGCCCTTTCACCCCGTGAGACTGGCTGTCGGCCGGCGAACCACAATGACTCTGACTGACCAACCGCTTCTGAGGAAAGGACGCTCGGCTGGCTCTCTCCTGTGCACTGAGATCCTCGTTTTACCTCTGCGTTAGTACGCCGAGTCGTTGGACTCGCTCGAGACATCTGCCCTACCATACTTGGATTAGCCAAAACACATTTTACCAGAAGTTACGAAGCTCCCTTCATAAGGGAGTCCAGAAACCACTTCTGGCACCTGTAGTTCTATTTACTTCTAAGAGAAATACAAGGCAACCCAGAACAGTTACTCCATAAAAGCCTCATTCTGGTCCAGCCACCGAACACTCAACAGGAGATAGCCCACTGCTCCCCGCGTTGCCCCGTTCCCTTGGACGACTGTCCTTGTGGTTACGGTGGCTCTGTTACCATCAGGCTTCAGGCTGTCGGCTCCTCACCCTCTGCTGCCCCAGTGCTCCCAGCAGCGCTCTGCCCCGGACTAGCCAGGAGCTGGTGGGTTCACGGCCATGCCTTGGCCTTTCTGAATGCCTGGATCTCCTCTTGGCCCCTCAGGTACTGCTCTATTTCACTGTCGGAGATGGGCTCATCTCCGGTGATGGCAAGGTCCGAAGCGCTTGGGGCTGCTGTGCGGAGCCTCTTCCTTGGCTTGATGAGGCAGGGCGGCAGCAAGGGCCTCCGTCCCCCGTCACGCTGACGTTTCCCTTCCAAGGGACGCACCTCCTCCTGCGCGGCCCCTCCTGCGGCCAGAGAGGAGCCGGGGGAGCCCTCACCCTGGGCTCCAGCACGCTGCTCCTCTGCGTCCTCTGCACAGAAAGATTTCTTCAGCAGAAAAATTCGGTGTTGCAGTAGGTCCCCGATGTGCTTGATGACCGTTTTCTTGTCCATGTTAAACACCCTCAGCCAAGCGAGCTGGGACGCCATTCTCAGCAGGATTTCGTGAAGCTCTTTCAGCCTCAGGTGGGCCGGCGGAGGCAG